ACAACCCTCACTTCCTTTACCTAGGTGGATTTTAAAAAAAAAAAATTCTATGGGTGGTCTTCGGCTTACAACTGTTCATTTAGTGACCGAAGTTGCGACAGCACTGAAAAAAAAGTGATTTAGGACCATTTTTCACACTTACGACCATTGAAGCATTCCCCCCCCTCCACGGTCACGTGATCAAAATTCGACCGCCACTTGGCAACTGTCTCATAGTTATGATGGTTGCAGCGTCCCGGGGTTATGCGATCCCCTTTTGCGACCTTTTGACAAGCAAAGTCCATGGGGCAAGCCAGATTCGCTTAACGACCTCGTGATTCACTTAACAGCCACGGCAAAAACGGTCGTAAAACGGGCCAACACCTCCCTTCAGCACTGTCTCCGCTTAGGAACGGACCACCTGTATACCTCTTTTATTATCTTTTACCTTGGAAACTTTAAAACTTGTGGACTTCAATTCCCAGAATTCCCCAGCATTCCCAGCACCCTGGGAATTGAAGCCCACAGGTCTTAAAGTTGCCGTGGTTGCCCCCCCCAGTAAACACTCCTCTGTTTGAACCCCTCCACTGTCTAGTTCTCTCTCTCTCCCTTTCTCTTTCTTTCTTTCTCTCCCTTTCTCTCTGTTTTTCTTTCTATGTATTTCTCTCTCTCTCACTCCCTTTCTTTTTGTCTCTCTCTCTTTTTTCTCTCTCCCTTTCTCTCTGTTTTTCTTTCTATGTATTTCTCTCTTTCTCTCTCTCTCCCTTTCTTTCTCTTTGTCTCTTTCTCTCTCCCTTTCTCTCTGTTTTTCTTTCTATGTATTTCTCTCTTTCTCTCTCTCTCCCTTTCTTTCTCTTTGTCTCTTTCTCTCTCCCTTTCTCTCTTTTTCTCTTTCTCTCCCTTTCTTTCTCTTTGTCTCTCTCTCCCTTTCTCTCTCTCTCTCTCTCTCTCCCTTTCTCTCTTTCTGTCTATTTGTTTCTCTCCTCTTTGTCTATTTCTCTTTCTCTTCCCTTTCTCTTTCTCTCTCTTTCTCCCTTTCTTTCTCTCTCCCTATCCTTTTCTCCCTCTTCTCTTTCTCTCTCTTCCTTTATTTCTCTCTCTTTCTTTCCTTCTCTGCTTCCCTCCCTCCCTCTCTCTCTCTCACTCACCCAAGCACATGCACACAACAAATACACAAACACAGTTCTGCAGCCCATCTCCGAGCAACATGGGGTTATTTGTGTTGGCAAGACCTTGGGTTCTTCTAAATAAATCCAGGCGGCAAGGACATTTGCTGAGGGCTGCCTGGCCCGAAACAGGATCCCACAGCCCCCCCCCCTCCCCGCCCGGCTCTGCTCTGCTCGCCAACCTCGTCATCTAAATATTACAAGGGTATTTTAAACTTGCAACAGCTGACATCAAGTGTAACAGGCTGTCATGCAGGAGTCTCTCTCTCTCTATCTCTCTCTCTCTCTCTATCTCTCTCTCTCTCTCTCTATCTATCTCTCTCTGTGAAAATGTTGGCTTTGATGACCAACAAATGGATTTTATTTTACTTAGTTTTCTTTCAAACACTAGCTTGTCCTTTTATTTTTATTTTCCTTCCTTCCTTCCTTCCACCCACCCACCGATCAATCTTCACTCTTTCTATCCTTCATTTCTTTTTCTTTCCTTCCTTCCTCTTCTTTCTTTCCCTCCCTCCCTTCCTTCCTTTCTCCCTCTTCCTCCTTTTCTTTCTTTCTTTCTTTCTTTCTTTCTTTCTTTCTTTCTTTCTTTCTCTTTCTTTCTTTCTTTCTTTCTTTCTTTCTTTCTTTCTTTCTTTCCTCCCTCCATTTTTCCTTCTTTCTCTCCTTCCTTTCCTCTCCCTCCCTCCCTTTTTCCTTCCTCCCTCCCTTTTTCCTTCCTTCTTTTCTCTCTCCTTCTTCTTCTTTTTTCTTCTTTTTCTTTTCTTTTCCTCTCTCACTCCCTCCAAGCGTGGCCTTACCAAGGCCTTGTAAAGTGGTATTAAAGTGGTATTTGGCAAAACCAACATTGGGACTTAGTGCCCATTGTTTGCAGAAAGGCAGAATTAAAGACAAATTGCAAGGCTGCCCAAATGCCAAGCTAGGATACGATGATGATGATGATGATGATGAAGTCGGAAGGGACCTTGGAGGTCATCTAGTCCAACCCCCTGTTCAGGCAAGAAACCCTATACCATTTCGGACAAATGGCTGTCCAGTCTCTTCTTAAAAACTTCCAGTGTTGGAGCATTGACCGCTTCTGGAGGCAGGTTGTTCCACTGGTTAATTGTTCTCACTATCAGGAAGTTTCTCCTTAGTTCCAGGCTCCTCCTCTCTTTGGTTAGTCTCCATCCAGTTATGACTGCAATAGAATCTCCCCCTTAACGGTGATAAATCTCCACAGTTGTAAAGCAGGTCGTGACGTGCCTGGACCCTGATTTTACGAGCTTTACTGTGGCGGTTCTTTTGCCAGCAAGGTAGTCATAAAATGAATGCAGCAGTGGTTAAAACAAGAAACAATTGTTCGCGATGGAGTGTTTTGCTGAAAAATCAGAAGAATATTCAGGCTTGAGTATCTATGGAGGTTCTGAGTGTTTTGCTGAAAAATCAGAAGAATATTCAGGCTTGAGTATCTATGGAGGTTCTGAGACCTCCAGGTTCGCGGTTGTCGCAAAGGGGCTTTTTTCAGGGGGCAACTGGACTTGTTTTTCTTTGAAGACCTTTCGTTTCTCCTCCCAGAAGCTTCTTCAGCTCTGCCTGGATGGTGGGGAGTGGAAGGATTTACACTCTTTGCAGACAGCTGGTCCTTTGCCTCCTTTTAGAGCAGTGGTTCTCAACCTGTGGGTCGGGACCCCATTTGGGGTCGAACGACCATTTCACGGGAGTCGCCAAACAAGGCTGTCCGCCATTTTTTCCCCCTTTTCTTTGGCCATTCCCCCAGGCACCCGATGATATATAAGTGGTTGGGGATCACCACAACATGGGGAACTGCATTATGGGGTCGCGGCATTAGAAAGGTTGAGAACCACTGTTTTAGAGACTCGTTGAGGCCACTTGGAGGTTGACCTGTGTCCTCAGGGTCACCTGAGCGGTTCAAATGGGTCTGCAAGTTCCCGAGTGAGAAAAAAATATCCTAAACATGATCGTGGGACACTGCAAACAGCCGTAGATTCTGGCTGGTCACTCGGCACCTCAAATGAGGTCCCGGGGGCACCAAGTCATACGGATCTTTTAGGAAGTTTGAATGGTCACTAAGCAAACAGTCGTAAGTTGAGGACTATTTGTGTTTTTCTCTATCCCTCCCACCCCGGACTCCTTCTCTTCTTCGCTCTTGTGTACAGGTAATTCTTGGCTTAACAGCTACACTTGAGCCCAAAATGTCCATTCCTAACATTTGTTGGGAATTTTTGCCCCATTTTATGGCCTTTCTTGCCACAGTTGTTAGTCACTCAGGTTGCTAAGTGAACGTGGTTTCCCTCCTTCACTTTGCTTGTCGGAAGGCCGGAAACGGTGGTAATAATAATAATAGTAATAATAATAATAGCAGCAGCAGCAATAGATAGGAAGACCAGAAAAATAATGAGAATGAATCATGCCCTCCATCCACAAAGTGATATTGACAGACTTTATCTACCAAGGCAAATAGGTGGGCATGGAATGCTGCAAGTACGTCAGATGGTTGAAGAAGAAAAAATGTCTTGGGAAGAATATCTGAAGAACAATGATGAAGATGCACTGAAATTAGTATATCAGGAAGGCTTACTGATTACTGGAGAGACCAAACTGGCCTACAAGAAAGACCAAATGAAGAACAGAATAGAGGCATGGGAAGACAAAGCACTACATGGCCAGTATGTTAAAAAAATAGCTGGGAAAGCAGATAATAACAAGACTTGGCAATGGCTAAGAGCAGGAAAATTGAAGAAAGAGACCGAGGGACTAATTCTGGCTGCACAAGACCAAGCCTTAAGGACAAGTGCATATAAAGTCAAAATTGAGAAGACAGCAACAGACAGTAAGTGCTGCCTATGCAAAGAAGCTGAAGAAACAGTGGACCACCTGGTAAGCTGTTGCAAGAAGATCGCCCAAACTGACTACAAGCAGCGGCATGACAAAGTAGCAACAATGGTGCATTGGAAGATCTGCAAGAAATATCATTTGCCTGTACGCAAGAACTGATGGGATCATAAAACAGAGAAAGTCATAGAAAATGTTAAAATTAAACTGCTCTGGGACTTCAGAATTCAAACAGACAAGCACCTGCAACATAACACCCCAGACTTAACAATTGTCGATAAGAAAGACAAAAAAGTCTGGATAGTGGACGTGGCAGTGCCTGGAGACAGCAGAATAGACGAGAAAGAGCTGGAGAAGATAACAAAATACAAAGACCTACAAATAGAAATAGAAAGATTGTGGCAAAAGCAAGCAAAGGTAGTACCAATAGTCATAGGCGCCTTGGGTGCAATCCCAAAACAACAGGAGCACCACTTGCACACCATTGGCATTGACAAATTCGCTATTAGTCAATTGCAAAAGGCGGCCTTACTAGGAACTGCTTCCATCCTGCGACGAGATCTGTAATACCATCAAACATCCACATCTGCCTATCCTAGGTTCTGGGTAAGGACTCGATAGGTAGACAAAATGCCAAATCCAGTCTGAACATCTGGCTGACTGTGCGATGATCCATCATCATCATAATAATAATAATAAAGTTGGAATGAACCTTGGAGGTCATCTAGTCCAACCCCCTGCTCAGGCAGGAAACCCTATACTATTTGGGACAAATGGCTGTCCAGTCTCTTCTTAAAGGTAGTTTACCTGACCCCAGGACTACTGAAACTGTCATAAATACCGGTCAGTTGCCAAGTGTCTGAATTTTGATCATGTGACCACAGGGAGGCTGCAACGGTCGTTAAGTGTGAAAAACGATCGTGAGTCCATTTTTTTTCAGTGAGGTTGTTAACTTTGAAATGTCACTAAGCGAAGCATTGTAAGCCGAGGACCATCTGTAATTTGGACCGGCTCTCGTTTCAGCAACAGATCTCTCGTCCTTCTCAAGACGAAAAAGTCGAAGAAAAAATAGAGGAGGAGAAAGCGGAGAAAACTGAGAAAAAGGAGGAGGAGAAAAGAGATGAGGAGGAAAAAGACGAGAAAGAAGAATCCAAGTAAGTCCGTTGTGGGGCGTGTTATCTCCTGGGTGAGTGTGTTTGTGTGTCTGTTGTGCAGGTGTGCGCAGGTGTGCCTCTGCAGCATTCGCTTGGTGTTATAAAAGGCCTTTTAAAGAATCCTGGTTGATTAGAGGGATAGGATAGGATAGAATAAGAATTAGGAATAGAATAGAACAGAATAGAATAGGAATTAAACAAAATAGAATATAGAAAATTAATTGAATTGAATTGAATTGAATTACAGGATAGAATTACAGGATAGAATTACAGGATAGAATATGGAATATAGAATATGAAAAATAGAACAGAACGGAATAGAATAGAATAGAATAGAATAGAATAGAATAGAATAGAATAGAATAGAATAGGAATTAAACAACATAGAATATAGAAAATTAATAGAATAGAATAGAATAGAATAAGAATTAAACAAAATAGAATATAGAAAATTAATAGAATAGAATAGAGTAAAATTGAATTACAGGATAGAATTACAGGATAGAATATGGAAAATAGAAAATGGAATGGAATGGAATAGAATAGAATAGAATAGGAATGAAACAAAATAGAATATAGAAAATTAATAGAATAGAATAGAACAGAACAGAATAGAATAGAATAGAATAGAATAGAATAGGAATTAAACAAAATAGAATATAGAAAATTAATAGAATAGAATTGAATTACAGGATAGAATTACAGGATAGAATATGGGATATGGAATATAGAATATGGAAAATAGAATGGAACGGAATGGAACAGCAGAATAGAATAGAATAGAATAGAATAGAATAGAATAGGAATTAAACAAAATAGAATACAGAAAATTAGAATAGAACAGAACAGAATAGAATAAACAGAGTTGGAAGGGACCTTGGAGGTCTTCTAGTCCAGCCCCCTGCTCAAGCAGGAGAACATACCCTCTCAGAAAAGTGGCTCTCCAGTCTCTTCTTAAAAACCTCCAGTGATGGAGCCACCCACGATTTCTGGTGGCAAGCTGTTCCACAGCTATCACTGTCAGGAAAGTTCTCCTTAGTTCCAGGTTGCTTCTCTCCTTGATTGGTTTCCAGCCATTGTTTCTCATTCTGCTCTCAGGTGCTTTGGTGAACAACCTGACCCCCTCTTCCTTGTGGCAGCCCCTCAGATACTGGAACACTGCTATCATGTCTCCCCTATTTCTTCTTTTCTTTAGACTATCCAAACCCAAGTCCCACAGCCGTTCTTCGTATGTTTTAGTATCCAGGCCTTGGATCATTTTAGTAGCTCTTCTCTGAACTTTTTCCAAACTCTCAACATCTTTTTTGTGATATGGGGACCAAAATTGGCTGCAGTATCCCAGGTGTGGTCTCACTAGGGTTTTATAAAGCGGTGCTAATACTTCACGTGATCTTAATTCTACGCCTCTGTTTATACAACCCAGGATTGTGTTAGCTTTTTTGGCTGCTGCTGCAAACGGCTGGCTCACGGTCAAGTGATCGTCCACTAGGACTCCGAGGTCCCTCTCACAGTGGCTGTTTTTGAGCCAGGTCTCACCCAATCTGTACTTGCACCTTTGGTTTTTCCTGCCGAAGTGTAAAACTTTGCTTTTGTCCACATGGAAACTCATTTTGTTGGACAGGGCCCATGGTTCCAGTTTGTCAAGATCTTTTTGGATCCCAAACCTGTCTTCTGGAGTGTTAGATTAATTGGAGATTGGATTTTGGCATTGCATTTGATTTGGGAGAGCCTCGAAATATTATTTATTTATAAAATTTACTTGCCCCCCATTTCGTATCCGGTGTCTCTGAAGCGGAAAAATATTTCCCTAAATCAGTGTTCTCCACCTGTGGGTCGGGACCCCATTTGGGGTCGAACGACCATTTCACGGGGGTCGCCAAACAACGCAGTCCGCCATTTTTTTCCCCCTTTTCCTTAGCTGTGCTACTCCCTTTTATTCTATTGGCTTTTGAAAGCCAATAGAATAGACTCTCTTGAATAGAGTCTAATTCTATTGGCTTTCCAAAGCCAATAGGAATGGTCCAGGCTGTCTCTGCCCTGCTGAGCCCTCCAAAAGTCCCGTTCTGCAAACGGTGCTGCACCAGTGGAGTAGTCCTCGACTTACGTCCGGTTGAGTAGTCCTCGACTTACGACCGGTTGAGTAGTCCTCGACTTACGACCGGTTGAGTAGTCCTCGACTTACGACCGGTTGGGGGTCGCGGCATTAAAAAGGTTGAGAACCACTGCCCTAAATGCACAGATGGTCCTCGACTCAATGTCCGGGGTTGAGCTCAAAAGTTTTCCGTCGCGAAGTAAGGCAGTTACGAAGCGAGTCCTTTCTAGCACTGGTGATGTAAACGTAGTTTGGGTGTGGAAACGTCTGCAAGGAAACACCACCCAGTCCAGGGAGCACCAAGGACCCCACCATTCAATCCCGCGTGACAAATATTCTCCTTTATTAACGCCAGGTTAGGCTGACCTGGCAACTGCTGGTGTGCATCTTGTGTTGCTGAAAGTTGAATTTCGCAGGCCGCGCGGCGACCGACGGCTAAGAACTCACCTCTTCCTAAGGCCGTTTCCCAGCGTGCCGGGAATCCCCGCCTGGCAATTGTGAGGGAGAAAGGATTGTGCGGGGAAGTAATAATACACCGTATGAGATTTGATTAAGCCAGATCTCAGCCTGCCGTCCAGGATATCCTCCCCGCAGTGGCTTCCATCATCCAGGTAGCCTTTCAGAACCGGCCTTGAGTGACTCGGGCTGGGTAATCCCATCAAGGTGAAACTCACATATGGCCTCCTTGGTGCTCTCGGAGCTGGGTGGTTTTCTTGTAGATCTTTCATGACTCAACTAGGTAAGGCCATCAGTGCTAGGAGGGGGGGGTTTGTGGGGGGGGAAGAGGAGGAGGAGGACTGCGTGGACTACGAGGACTACGTGGACGACTATGTGGGGTGCCTGGTGCTCTCTGAGGTTATTTCATTGCGGACGTTTCATGACCCAACTAGGTAACAGCATCAATGCTAGAGGGGAGGGGATTAGCTATCTTTATATTCTAGTGTCTTGCCCTGTCAGTATTGGGGGACTGTTGTTTTTCTTCTTGGTGGTTCCCTGCTTAGGCTGTTGTAGTTGGATGAAAGGATGATGGATGGATGGAAAGAAATGTATGTATGTATGTGAGGGAGGGAGGGAAGGAAGGAAGAAAGGAATGAGGGAGGGAGGGAGGGAGGAAGGGGAGGAGGGAGGGAAGGAAAGAAGGAGATGAGGAAGGGAAGGAAGGAAGGGGAAAGGGAGGGAGGGAGGAAGAAAGAGGAAAGGGGAGGAAGGAAGGAAGGAAGGAAGGAAGGAAGGAAGGAAGGGGAGGAGGGAGGGAAAGAAAGGAGGGAAGGAAGGGGAAGGGAGAGGGAGGAAGGAAGAAAGGAAAGAAGGATAAAGGGACAGGGAGGAAGGAAGGAAGGAAGGAAGGAAGGAAGGAAGGAAGGAAGGAAGGAAGGAAGGAAGGAAGGAAGGAAGGGAGAATGATGGGGTCCTTGGTGCTCTCTGAGCTGGGCTGTTTCCTTGCAGATATTTCATTCCTCAACTAGGGAACATCAACAGTGCTAGAAGGGGGGGGGTTATTGCTCCCTTTTTAATTACCAAGAAGAAAACAACACTCCCACCAACGCTGACAAGGCAAGTTACTAGTATCTAAAGAGAGAGTAAATCCCACTCCCTACTAGCACTGATGATCTTCCCTAGTTGGGTCATGAGACGTCTGCAAGAAAACAGAAAGTTCAGAAAGGACCCCACAGTCCTCCTCCTCCTTCTCCTCCTCCTCCTCCTCTTCCTCTCCTCCTTCCCTCCTGCTCCTTCTGCTCCTCCCCTTCTCCTGCTTCTCTTCCTCCTCCTCCCCCTCCTTTTCATCTTTCCTCCTCCTCCCCTCCTCCTTCTCCTCTTCCTCCTGCTCTTCCTCCTCCTCGTCTTCCTCCTCCCCTCCTCCACCTTCCTCTCCTCCTTCTCATCTTCCTCCTCCTCCTTCTCCTCTTGCTCCCCTCCTCCTGCTTTTCCTCCCCCCTCCTCTTCCCCTCTTTCCCCTGCTCCTCCTCATCTCCTTCTACCACTGATGATGTTCCCTAGTTGGGTCATGCAACATCCTCAAGAGAACAAACTCGGGGAGCCCCGAGGACCCCAGGGTTCAACCCTGGGCTGCAAACCTCGTCTTCCATCGCCCAGAATTCTTCGTTGTGTCGGGATGAGCGGGGCTGCCAGGGATCCCTCCCGCTTGGCAGGGGAAGAAGCAAGCGTTACGTAGTTCACACTCTGAAGGACGTCCGCCTTCCGCCCATCTCTCCATCCAGGTCACCCCATCCCAAGACTCTTCCTGACTTTTCTCTCTGTGTCTCCCCCCCCCCAGGGAAAATATCAAGGAGAAGGAGAAGGTCGAAGCCCAGCCGGAAGAGCCCGAAGAACGGGAGCCCGCCGTTCCGAGAGGACGCAAGACCGCCAACAGCCAAGGCCGGCGCAAAGGCCGGGTCACCCGATCGATGACGAACGAAGCCGCGGCGGCTAACGCGGCCGCCGCCACCGAGGAGCCACCCCCACCGCTGCCGCCCCCGCCGGAACCCTGTAAGTCAAGGCGGTGCTTGACCACGGCTTGTGGCCATCTCGGTCGATCTCTGCTTGTTGCAAAAAATGCCTTCTGCCAACCCTGCTTCTGGCTTCCAAAATTCTTCCCGTGATGCTCTGCAGCTGGGGTTTGGAAAGCAGTACGGGTAGTCCTTGACTTAACGACCGGAATGGAGCCCCCCCCCCAAATTTATGTCGCTAAGCGAGAAACTTGTTCAGTGAGGTTCTCTCCCCCCCCAATTTTACGACTTTCCTTGCCACGTTGGTGAAGCGAATCCCTTCAGTTGTTAAGTGAGTCACCCAGTCGCTAAGCCAGTGGTTCTCAACCTGTGGGTCGGGACCCCATTTGGGGTCGAACGACCATTTCACGGGGGTCGCCAAACAACGCAGTCCGCCATTTTTCCCCCCCTTTTCCTTAGCTGTGCTACTCCCTTTTATTCTATTGGCTTTTGAAAGCCAATAGAATTAGATTCTCTTGAATAGAGTCTCATTCTATTGGCTTTCCAAAGCCAATTTATTTATTTATTTATTTACAAATATTTATATGCCGCCCAATCCCAAAGGACTCAGGGCGGCGTACAAGGTTAAAAACAGTCATAAAAGAATAAAATAATCCAGTCATACCGCGAGTCCGATCATATCCCGGCCCCCCGGGGACATCAGCCCCAGGCCTGCCGGAACAGGAGAGTTTTAACGGCTTTCTTAAAGGCCGGCAGGGTGGGAGTAGTTCGAACCTCGGGGGGAAGTTGATTCCACCAGGTCGGAGCCACCACAGAAAAGGCCCTTCCCCGAATTGTCCAGGCTGTCTCTGCCCTGCTGAGCCCGCCAAAGGTCCCATTCGGCAAACGGTGCTGCACCAGTTGAGTAGTCCTCGACTTACGACCGGTTGAGTAGTCCTCGACTTACGACCGGTTGGGGGTAGTGGCATTAAAAAGGTTGAGAACCACTGCGCTAAGTGAAGCTGGCTTCCCTGTTGACTTTGCTTATCGGAAGGTCGCGAAATGGGGAATCGCCTGATCCCGCTGCGGCCGTCATAAATATGAAGCCCTTTTTCAGGCGCCTGAATTGAAATGTAAATGTAAAACGGTCGTGAGTGTGAAAAGGGGACGTGAGTCACTTTTTTGAGGGCCGTTGTAACTTTGAACGGTCAGTAAATGAACGGTCGTACGTGGAGGATGACCTGCCCAGGTCGTCCTCGGCTCACAACCTCAACTGAGCGCAAAACTTCCGTTGCTCAGCAAGACAAGTTGGGAAGTGAGTTTTGTCCTGTTTTACAACCTTCCTTGCCACCATTGCTAAGTGAATCGTCGCACTTGTTCAGCTAGTATTCCAGGGGTCCCCAACCTGTGAGCCCTGGCTGACTACCGGGCCGTGGCCTCTTGGCCACTGGGCCGCGTGAATGGATGGCTAATGCACACGTTTGCGTTTGTGCACTCATCCTCCACACTTGCACTAGCGCCGCTGCGAGCGTCCATTGGGGCTAGCGCCACCCCGCCCCGAGCGTCCCACCAGCACTAGCACCACCCCGAGCGTCTCACTAGTGCTAGCGACACCCCGAGCATCCATCTGGTGCTAGCGCCACCCCACCCCTAGTGTCCCACCAGCCCTAGCACCACCCTGAGCATCCCTTTGGCACTAGCGCCGCCCCAAATGTCCCTCCGGCGCTAGCTCCACCCCACCCTGAATGTCCCACCAGCGCTAGCACCAGCCCGAGCATCTCTCTAGTGCTAGCGACGTCCCGAGCATCCACCCGGCGCTAGCGACACCCCATCCCGGGCCTCCCACCAGCCCTAGCACCACCCCGAGTATCCCTTTGGCACTAGCGCTGCCCCGAATGTCCCTCCAGCGCTAGTGTCACCCTACCCCAAGCGTCCCACCAGCACTAGCACCAGCCCGAGCATCTCTCTAATGCTAGCGACATCCTGAGCATCCATCCGGCGCTAGCGACACCCCATCCCAGGCATCCCGCTAGCCCTAGCACCACCCCGAGTATCCCTTTGGCACTAGCGCTGCCCCGAATGTCCCTCCGGCGCTAGCACCACCCCACCCCAAGCGTCCCACCAGCGCTAGCACCAGCCCGAGCGGCAGAAATTTCGGGCTCCCTTGTGGCCGTAAATTGAGGGACTACCTAGGCCAGTGGTTCTCAACCTGTGGGTCGGGACCCCATTTGGGGTCGAACGACCATTTCACGGGGGTCGCCAAACAACGCAGTCGGCCATTTTTTCCCCCTTTTCCTTAGCTGTGCGACTCCCTTTTGTTCTATTGGCTTTTGAAAGCCAATAGAATAGACTCTCTTGAATAGAGTCGAATTCTATTGGTTTTCCAAAGCCAATAGGAATGGTCCAGGCTGTCTCTGCCCTGCTGAGCCCGCCAAAAGCCCCATTCTGCAAACGGTGCTGCACCAGTTGAGTAGTCCTTGACTTACGACCAGTTGAGTAGTCCTCGACTTACGACCGGTTGGGGGGTCGCGGCATTAAAAAGGTTGAAAACCACTGACCTAGGCAGGTGTTCAGCTAGCAAAGAAGAAAAGTGCGTAATTGCAGGACAGAGATTGTCCGGTTTCAATTCATTCAGTTTTGTGCTTTTCTTTTGGTAAAAAGCCGCACGGGTTTCCGTTCAGTTTTGCTTGAAATTGTCCTAGTCTAAAAAAGTAAGACACCAGTAAAAGAAAGGCACAAATGAAGTTTGTTTCTCTTCTGAAACGTCACGCGTGAATATATTGTCCTTTGACCCACCTGAAAACAGATGCCCGAGAATGAAAATCACTGTGTTGTGGCCCAGGAATACAGACTCACAAAAACAACACAGATTGCAGAAGATACTCAGAGCCCAGAGCAGGGGTCTTCCAACTTGGCCCTTTTAGGACTTGTGGACTTCAACTCCCAGAATTCCCCAGCCAGCACGTGGCGACCTTTAAGACTTGTGGACTTCAACTCCCAGAATTCCCCAGCCAGCACGTGGCGACCTTTATGACTTGTGGATTTCAACTCCCAGAATTCCCCAGCCAGCACGTGGCGACCTTTAAGACTTGTGGACTTCAACTCCCAGAATTACCCAGCCAGCACTTGGTGACTTTAAGACAGTGGTTCTCAACCTGTGGGTTGGCACCCCATTTGGGGTCGAACGGCCATTTCACGGGGGTCGCCAAACAACGCAGTCCGCCATTTTTTCCCCCTTTTCCTTAGCTGTGCTACTCCCTTTTATTCTGTTGGCTTTTGAAAGCCAATAGAAGAGACTCTCTTGAATAGAGACTCATTCTATTGGCTTTCAAAAGCCAATAGGAATTGTCCAGGCTGTCTCTGCCCTGCTGAGCCCGCCAAAAGTCCCATTCTGCAAACAGTGCTGCACCCGTTGAGTGGTCCTCGACTTACGACCGGTTGAGTAGTCCTCGACTTACGACCGGTTGGGGGTCGCGGCATTAAAAAGGTTGAGAACCACTGCTTTAAGACATCATCATCATCATCAGAGTTGGAAGGGCCCTTGGAGATAATTCTACTCTGGTGAATTCTGGGAGTTGAAGTCCACAAGTCTTAAAGTGGCCGTCTTTGGAGACCCCTGCCCTCTACTGCCGTCCCGAGGGGGGGAGTTGAAAGAGGATGCAAGGGGTCTGCAAGTATCTACCCAGCTCCCCTCTGGACCCCCTCAATATACAAGATGCAAATATACTGTTTAGAGCAATGGTTCTCAACCTTTTTAATGCCGCGACCCCCCCCCCCAACCGGTCATAAGTCGAGGACTACTCAACCGGTCGTAAGTCGAGGACTACTCAACTGGTGCAGCACCGTTTGCAGAAGGGGACTTTTGGCGGGCTCAGCAGGGCAGAGACAGCCTGGACAATTCCTGTTGGCTTTTGAAAGCCAATAGAATTACGACTCTATTCAAGAGAGTCTCTTCTATTGGCTTTCCAAAGCCAATAGAATAAAAGGGAGTAGCACAGCTAAGGAAAAGGGTGGAAAAATGGCGGACTGCGTTGTTTGGCGACCCCCGTGAAATGGTTGTTCGACCCACAATGGGTTCCCGACCCCACAGGTTGAGAACCGCTGGTTTAGAGTATGTACAGGATGCCGGGCTGGCTGGGGAATTCTGGGAGTTGAAGTCCATAGATCTCCACCTTGCCCTGCTTGGCCTGGGCCCTTGCGGGGAATCGACCTTGCAGGCAGACTCCGCTGACGGCCTCTTCTGGCACGGAGCTGCTGGCCTCCTGCCCCAAGGAGGGGATTTCTCCTCCTGCCTCTCCTCCTCCTCTGAGACTCACTCTTGGTTTTTGTTTTCTCCTCTTTTTTTTTGTTTTTGATGTAATAAGAACTGACGCCCTCCCGCTGTCAGCGGGCAGCGTTCCCAAGCGGCCGGAGCAGGCCTTCCTGTAAACAGATTAATAGATTATGCGGAAAGCACAAAAGTCTGGCCTTTTACGCCATCTGACCGGCTCTCTCCCTCTCTCTCCCTCCCTCTCTCTCTCTCTCTCTCTTCTTTCCTCTCCACCTTGTTTCAGCTTCCGCGGAGCCAGTGGAGACCTCGCGCTGGACGGAAGAAGAGATGGAGGTGGCAAAAAAAGGTAAGACTGACGCAGGAAGGGAGCTTTTCCTTCCCTCCCTCCTCCCCTTCCTTCTCCCTTCTGTCCTTCCTTCCTTCCTCCTTCTCCTTTCTTTCTTTCTTTCTTTCTTTCTTTCTTTCTTTCTTTCCTTCTTTCTTTCTTTCTTTCTTTCTCTTTCTTTCTTTCTTTCTTCCTTCCTTCCTTCCTTCCCTCCCTCCATTTTTCCTTCTTTCTTTTTCTCCTTCCTTCCTCCCTCTTTCCCTCCATTTCCTTCCTTCTTCCCTTCCTCCCTCCCTTTCTCTCCCTCTTTCCTCCCTTTTTCCTTCCTTCTCTCTTCCTCTTTTTTCTTTCTCTTCCTTCCTTCCCTCTTTCTTTCTTTCTTCACTCCCTCCCACTCTCCATTTTTCCTTCTTTCTTCCCTCCCTTCCTCTCCCTCTTTCCTCCCTTTCCCTTCCTTCTCTCTTCCTCTTTTTTCTTTCTCTCTTTCTTCCTTCCTTCCCTCTTTCTTTCTTTCTTTCTTTCTTTCTTTCTTTCTTTCTTTCTTCCCTCCCTCCCTCTCTCCAATTTTCCTTCCTTCTTTCCTCCCTCCCTCCCTTCCTCTGTCTCCCTCTTTCCTCCCTTTTCCTTCCTTCTCTCTTCCTTTTCTTTCTTTCTTTCTTTCTTTCTTTCTTTCTTTCTTTCTTTCTTTTTCTTTCTTCCTTCCTTTGTTCCTTCCCTCTTTCTTTCTTCCCTCCCTCCCTCTCTCCATTTTTCCTTCTTTCCTTCCTCCCTCCCTTCCTGTCTCCCTCTTTCCTCTTTCCCTTTTTCCTTCTCTCTTCCTCTTTTTTCTTCTTTCTTCCTTCCTTCCCTTTCTTTCTTTCCTCCCTCCTTCCCTCCATTTTTCCTTCTTTCTTTCTCCTTCCTTCCTCCCTCTTTCCCTCCATTTTTCCTTCTTCCCTTCCTCTCTCTCCTCTTTCTTCCCTCCCTTTTTTCTTCTCTCTTCCTCTTTTTTCTTCTTCCTTCCTTCCTTCTTTCCCTTTCTTTCTTTCTTTCTCTCTTTCTTTTTTCCTTCCTTCCTTCCTTCCTTCCTTCCTTCTCTTCCTTCCTTCCTTCTTTCTTTCCCTTCCTTCCTTCCTTCCTTCCTTCCTTCCTTCCTTCCTTCCTTCCTTCCTTCCTTCCTGTTTTTTCTTAAGTCCCTTTAGCAACCAAAGGACAGCATGAGACAAATAGTTTGGAAGTTCCTTTTCCTGGAAAGTCCAGCATGCTTCTGCAATTTTCCCGGGATCTTGCAGCCTCAACGAAACCCTGCTAGTGGGCTTGGCCACGTCAGTCCCACGGTTGTGGGAGGTTTTGTCAAGCTTCGTTAGAACTTCCAGGGTTGAGGCAAGGTACTTTTTTGTGCAAAAATTGGGTCTCTGCTGGCTTCAAGGCCTCGTCTCCCCACTCTCATCCCACTCCCGTTGATTTGAGCCATCTGTAGTTGCAGCTTCCCGAGGGATAATAATCTGCAAGCAGAGGAAACCAGCCTCTTTTCACTCCCGCCAGCGGGAATTTGGGATTTGCCTTTAAAGAATCAGCACAACAATAGAACAACAGAACGGCAGAGTTGGAAGGGACCTTGGAGGACATCTAGCCCAACCCCCTGCTCAGGCAGGAAACCGTATACCATTCCGGATAAAGGGCTGTCCATTCTCTTCTTAAAAGCCTCCAGTGTTGGAGCATCCATAACTTCTGGTGGCAAGCTGTTCCACTGGCTAATTGTCCTCAGTGTTAGGAAGTGTCTCCTTTAATTCCAGGTTTGCTTCTCTCCTAGATCGGTTTCTGTCCGTTGTTTCTTGTTTTTTGAAAAATAGGTTGACTTCCCCCCCCCCCGCCTCTTCTTTGTGGCCACCTCTCAAATATTGGAGGACTGCTTTCATGCCCCCCCCCTCCTTCTTTTCTCTAGACCAGCGGTACCCAATTCCAAAAGCGTGACGTTGGCAAATTGGGAGCATTATCCCACCCTCCCTGAATTGTGGGCTGACACACAGCCTCTGACTTCTGCCCGGCTCCCCTCTGTATTTGTGCTGATCTGGGTTGATCAACTAAGGGGAAATTTCCTGACAGTGAGAACAATTAACCAGTGGAACAGCCTGCCTCTAGAAGCTGTAAATGCTCCAACAATGGAAGTTTTTAAGAAGAGACCAGACAGCTATTTGTCTGAAATGGTCTAGGGTCTCCTGCCTGAGCAGGGGGTTGGACTAGATAACCTCTAAGGTCCCTTCCAACTTTATATTATTATGGTTATTATATATAGATAGATAGATAGATAGATAGATAGATAGATAGATAGATAGATAGATAGATAGATAGATAGATAGATAGATATAGGTAGCGATAGATAGATAGATAGATAGATAGATAGATAGATAGATAGATAGATAGATAGATAGATAGATAGATATAGATAGGTAGCGATAGATAGATAGATAGATAGATAGATAGATAGATAGATAGATAGATAGATAGATAGATATAGATAGATAGGTAGCGATAGATAGATAGATAGGGATAGATAGATATAGATAGTTAGATATAGATAGATAGATAGAGGTATAGAGATAGAGATAGATATAGATAGGTAGAGATAGATAGATAGATAGATAGATAGATAGATAGATAGATAGATATAGATATTAGATATAGATATATGTAGGTAGATAGGGAGGGATATAAAGATGGGTGGATAGATAGATAGGTATAGATATAGATATGTTAACAATTACACTAAAAATATGATCCCTGGATATATCCATATTTAAAACCAAACAAATAAATGTGAGCACCAGGGAATACTATAAAAATTTTTAATAAAATTTAGTAAAATGCCAATAAAATTTCAATAAAATTACAATAAAACACCTAGCTTTCGTCAGCGACTGCTGACATCATCAGGGCCAGTCAGTAGGAGAGTCCCCTTTATAGATTGGCCAGGATCTTCACCCGGCTCCTAGATCTTGTCATCGGGCCTGATGGAATAGGCTGTTTTCCGGTTGCCGGTTTCTTATTAGCAATAATTGCTTTCTTGCATTTATTAAAAAATTTTATAGTATTCCCTGGTGCTCACATTTATTTGTTTGGTTTTAAATATAGATATAGATAGATATGCATGGATGGATAGATATAGATATATATTTTATAGGATTGGGAATAGGGTCCGGATTGGGGTTGGGGTTAGAGTTAGGATTTTTTAAAAATAACATTTGTAATATTTAGCAAACAGCACGTTGTCTGGGTTCATGTATTTTTTTTAAAAAAAGAATGAATAGTAATTAATTATCATAAACAATATGTTACTCGCTCAATAGTCTTCTTCTTCTTACTAGAACAGTGGTTCTCCACCTGTGGGTCGGGACCCCATTTGGGGTCGAACAACCATTTCACGGGGGTCGCCAAACAACGCAGTCCGCCATTTTTTCCCCCCTTTTCCTTAGCTGTGCTACTCCCTTTTATTCTATTGGCTTTTGAAAGCCAATAGAATAGCGTCTCTTGAATAGAGTCTAATTCTATTGGCTTTCAAAAGCCAATAGGAATTGTCCAGGCTGTCTCTGCCCTGCTGAGCCCGCCAAAAGTCCCATTCTGCGGCATTAAAAAGGTTGAGAAGCACTGCCTTAGCAAATGTTTCCCTTGGCGACCCAAACTTTTGAGAGGCTCAGTCGTGGTGGTAGGTCAAGGGCTAGCTGGGTCTCCCCACAAAAAGTGGCCCCTCCCCTTTGTCGAGGGGGTGCCCACGAGGAATAATGAGAGGGGGCTGGGCACAGCCAGCATCGAAGACTCCCCCAAAAAGAGAGCCTGGCCAGCATCTCTCGGAATCAAAATGTCGCTTCCAGTTAATGTAATATAATAATATAATAATAATGTAACACTGAATATATACTAGACCACTGGTTCTCAACCTTTTTAATGCCGCGACCCCCAACCGGTCGTAAGTCGAGGACTACTCAACCGGTCGTAAGTCGAGGACTACTCCACTGGCGCAGCACCGTTGGCAGAATGGGACTTTTGGCGGGCTCAGCAGGGCAGAGACAACCTGGACAATTCCTATTGGCTTTGGAAAGCCAATAGAATTAGACTCTATTCAAGAGAGTCTATTCTATGGGCTTTCAAAAGCCAATAGAATAAAAGGGAGTAGCCCAGCTAAGGAAAAGGGGGGAAAAAATGGCGGACTGCGTTGTTTGGCGACCCCCGTGAAATGGTCGTTCGACCCCAAATGGGGTCCCGACCCACCGGTTGAGAACCACTATGCTAAGGGAATTTTGCCCCGTTTTATGACCTTTCCTGCCGCGGTCGTTGAACTGAACCAGCGCAGTTTTTAAGTGAATAACTCGGTTGTTAAGTGAATCCGGTTTTTCCCCCCGTTGACTTTTGCCTGTCCGAAGGTCCCAAAAGGGGATCGCGTGACAACCCCAGGGATGCGGCGACCGTCATAAATACGAGTCAGTTGCCGAGCGTCCAAATTTTGGATCGGGGGCCGACGGGAAACCCTACGGAAGGTCGTAAGTGTGAAAGACGGTCGTCAGTCTCTTTTTCTCAGTTTGGAACGTCACTAAGCGAACTGTCGTTAAGTCGAGGAGTACCTGGCATTTATCCTCTTCTGGTGAGGCGTCCCCATCCCCTGTCACAGCATTTGTGTGGCTCCATATCTAGTCCTGGAAGGTTTCCGAAGGAGAAACGGTCCCGAATGGAACACTTGGGTTCCTGTTCGGGCGGGGTCAGACTAGAAGACCTCTTAGGCTTCCTTCCAAATTTTTGTCATAATAATAATAATAAGTTGGAAGGGACCTTAGAGGCCATCTAGTCCAACCCCCTGCTCAGGCAAGAAACCCTATACCATTTCAGACAAATGGCTGTCCAGTCTCTTCTTAAAAACTTCCAATGTTGGAGCATTCACCGCTTCTGGAGGCAGGTAGTTCCACTGGTTAATTGTTCTCACTGTCAGGAAGTTCTAGGTTGCTTCTCTGCTTGATGAGTTTCCATCCGTTGCTTCTTGTCCTGCCTTAAAACGTCTTGGGGTGAACTTAAAGGATCTCTTCTTCCTTAGCAACCCTTGAAGGCAAAAATAAAATATTATAATAATAATAACAACAACAACAACCATGGGATTGCTAACAACATTTGAACGCAGTCTGCCAGGAAATGCAGACCCGCTTGTGCGTCCGTGTGTGTGATTTGCACAACTGGATCTTCTCAGGACTTTGGAGAGAGCAGATCCCTGTTGTCCAGACGACCAAAAATGTCTAAAAACAGTTCCAGATACTTTGAGGTTGTTTTGGGTTTTCTTTTTTTTTTTCTTCTTCTTCTTTCTTTCTTTGCTTATGACTCACGTCAGTTGAGGCCATCAACTGCACCCTCTCCTCCTCCTCCTCCTCCTCCTGCTCTGCTTTGATTATTTTTTCTTAAATCCTTTTTTTTCCCTTTCCCCTCCTACTGGCGATTGGCTTGGGACTTACTGTAAAGCAGGAAAGAATAAAAGCTCAATTCCCAAAACATGGGGGGGGTTGATGGGGGGGGGGTGGAAGGGACTGTAGCTTGCTTTCTCCCCAATCTGATTTTGCTCAGCATCAAGGTTCACTCTGAAAAACGGAAAGTTTTTTCCCTCTGGATCCAATGCGTATAAGTCGCCGTGTATCCGATAAGTTGGATTATATCACATCGAATAGGAGAGAATATTTGTACTTCGGGGTTGAACTGTGGGGGTCCTTGGTGCTCTCTGCGCTGGGTGGTTTTCCTGCGGACGTTTCATGACCCGACTAGGTAACATGATCAGTGCTAGAAGGGATGGGGGGGGGTTGAGGAGAGGAGGAAGAGGAGGATTATGTGGGTGTTTGGGAACGAGCTCGTATTTATGATGGCTTCAACATCTGGGTTTATGTGGTGGTATAATCATCATCGTCATCATCATCTAGTCCAGTGGTTCTCAGCCTTTCTAATGCTATGACCCCATAATACAGTTCCCCATGTTGTGGTGACCCCCAATCACTTATACATCACTGGGTGCCAGGGGCGTGGCCAAAGAAAAGGGGGAAAAATTGGCGGACAGCCTTGTTTGGCGACCCCCGTGAAATGGTCGTTCGACCCCAAATGGGGTCCTGACCCACAGGTTGAGAACCATTCATCTAGTCATCTAGTCCAACCCCCTGTTCAGGCAGGAAACCCTATACCATTTCAGACAAATGGCTGTCCAGTCTCTTCTTAAAGACTTCCAGTGTTGGAGCATTCACAATTTCTGGAGGCAGGTGGTTCCACTGGTTAATTGTTCTCACTCTCAGGAAGTTTCTCCTTAGTTCTAGGTTGCTTCTCTCCTGGATGAGTTTCCACCCGTCGCTTCTTGTCCTGCCTTCAGGCGCTTTGGAGAATAGCTTGACTCCCTCTTCTTTGGGGCAGCCCCTGAGATACTAGAAGACTGCCATCATGTCCCCCCTCGTCCTTCTCTTCATTAAACTATCTGTAGTTTTTAAGAAAGGACTGGACAGCCATTTGTGCGGAATGGTATAGGGTGTCTTGCTTGAGCAGATGGTTGGACTAGAAGACCTCCAAGGTCCCTTCCAACTCTGTTTATTCTGTTCTGTTCTGTTCTATTCCATATTCTATTCTATTTTGTTCTGTTCTATTCCATATTCTATTCTATATTATTCTGTTCTGTTCTATTCTATTCTATATTCTACTCTATTCTATTCTATTTCCATTCCATTCCCATTCTCATTCCATTCCATATCTTCTCTTCTATTCCCTTCTATTCCATTCCATTCTATTCCATATCTTCTATTCTATTCTATTCTATTCATATTTTAATTCTATTCTATTTTCTATTCTATTCTATTCCATTCCATTCCATATCTTCTATTCTTTTCCATTCCATTCCATATATTCTATTCTATTCTATTCTATTCTATTCTATTCTATTCTATTCTATTCTATTCTATTCCATTCCATTCCATTCCATTCCATTCCATATTTTCTATTCTATTCTATTCTATTCCATTCCATTCCACTCCATCTTCTCTTCTCCCCTCTCCCCTCCCCCCTCCCCCCTCCCCTCCTGCCATTCTGTATTCTGTGGCACATCAGCCCTTGGTTGCTGGCTTTCAGCCCCACCGTTTCTTCCTCCCTGGCGGATGTGGGAAGGCAGGCGAGCACCAGGGCTTTCTGGCCCAGAGAGAATTAGGTTATGTCAGCTGGGGAGACAGCATGATCCGGCAGATAAGCCCTGGGTGCTGTTGGGTCAGAGGCCTGGCCCCTAAGACATTCTTGGCAACTGACACGGGGATGACCTCAGGAGGGTTCAGCTCCACATCTTGTCGGCCTGGGGGGGGGGGGAAGGCCTGGCCTGGGACAGCGGGAAGCTTTGCAGATGGAGACCTATCTGGAGAAAAAAGACTTCGTTCCCGGTTCCTCAAATCTCCCGGGATCTTCCAAAGAGGAGAAAAAAAAACCCTGATTGCCCTGCCTGGCAGACGAAGAAATCCCGTTTTGTTTTTTGTTTTTTTTTTAATTCCCTTTGCTGGAGACCTTCTGCTGCTTGATGAAAAGCAGGCACGCGCTTTGTGAATTTGCACGATGCAATGAAAAGTTATTGATTTAATTGTTTATTTGTATCCCGCCTTTATTCTTACATATAACGCAAGGCGGCCAATGTAATCCGAGACAGTTTCCGCTTCCTATTTTTCCGACGACAACGACCCTGTGGGGTGGGATGGGCTGAGACGGGGGGGGGGGGGAACTGGCTTTCGTGCCTAAGGCGGGACTAGAACTCACAGTCTCCTGGTGATTGGCCCAAAGTCACCCAGCTGGCTTTCATGCCTAAGACGGGACTAGAACTCACCATCTCCTAGTGATTGGTCCACAGTCACCCAGCCGGCTTTCGTGCCTAAGGCAGGACTAGAACTCACCGTCTCCCGGTGATTGGCCCAAAGTCACCCAGCCGGCTTTTGTGGTTAAGGCGGGACTAGAACTCACCGTCTCCTGGTGATTGGCCCACAATCACCCAGCTGGCTTTCATGGCTAAGGTGGGACTAGAACTCACCGTCTCCTGCTGATTGGCCCACAACACCCAGCTGGCTTTCATGCCTAAGGCAGGACTAGAACTCACCGTCTCCTGCTGATTGGTCCACAGTCACCCAACCGGCTTTCATGCCTAAGGCGGGACTAGAACTCACCGTCTCCTGCTGATTGGTCCACAGTCACCCAGCCGGCTTTCATGCCTAAGGCGGGACTAGAACTCACCGTCTCCTGCTGATTGGCCTAAAGTCACCCAGCTGGCTTTCATGCATAAGGCAGGACTAGATCTCATCGTCTCCTGGTGATTGGCCCAAAGTCACCCAGCTGCCTTTTGTGCTTAAAGCAGGACTAGAACGCCCGGCGACTGTCATAAGTATATGCTGGTTGCCCGGCGTCCTAATTTTGATCACGTGACTCTGGGGACACTGCAATGGTCACAAGTGCAAGGACCAGTCTCCTGTCAACGCCTTTCAGCACCGTATTAAATTTGCACAGCCGTTAAACGAAGGGTTGTAAACCCCAGGACCACCCGTAGCAACTACTAAGGCCTGGGGGAAAAAGTATTTCAAACAAACATTTTTATGGGCAGAGGCTTGGGATAGATGATCTCGAGGGTCCCTCCCACGCATCGCAAGCCCTCCGCGTGTTTCTGTCAGGAAAGTCAATTGAATCGGATTACACAGGTCCAAGAAGGTACAAGGAACATGCAGGTTTTTTTACCTCCCCCCCCAAGCCCCTTCCCTTCCCCCCCCCGGAGAAAGTAGCCACGAGGTCTCACCCAATTTTTATGTCCAATCTCGGCAGGGCTGGTGGAACACGGGCGCAACTGGGCGGCCATCGCCAAGATGGTGGGCACCAAGAGCGAAGCCCAGTGCAAGAACTTCTACTTCAACTACAAACGGAGGCACAATCTGGACAGCCTCCTTCAGCAATACAAGCAGAAGGTGAGAAAGGGGCCGATGGGTGAGGGGTGGGTGGGCTGGAGTGAGTCAAAGGCGGTGGGGGGGGAGGAGAGTAATGGTTGCCTGGAAGAAAAAAGGGGGTTTTCCCCACCATCTTCCTTCAAAGAGACTTCAGGGGTTTCCCGTGCCACGAATTTCCTTCATTGATTCATTCAGTCCATCATTTATCTCACAATCTGTTCGATGCCCATTGATTCATCCATCCGTTCATTTATTTGTCCCGTCCGTCTGCCAGTCCATTCATTCTTGTTCATCGTTTCATCTACCCATTCATTGTTTAGCCATCAGTTCTTCCATTGCATCCATTCATTATCCATCCATCCATCCACTATCCGTCCATTCAATATTTATCCATTATCCACTCATCTGTTATCCGTCCATTCAATATTTATCCACCCATCCATTCATTCATCATCCATCATTATTCGTTCAGTCATCATTTATCCATGCATTCGTTCATTTCCCATCAGTTCATTCTTCCATCCATCAATTCATCCATCCATCCACTCATCCATTTGTTATCCATCCATTCAATAGTTATCCATTCATTCATTCATCATTCGTTCATTCATCTATGAATTCATTCGTTTTCCATCAACTCATTCTTCCATCCATCAATTCATCCATCCATCCACTCATCCATTAATTTGTTATCCATCCATTCAATATTTATCCATTCATTCATCTATGAATTCATTTATTTCCCATCAACTCATTCTTCCATCCATCAATTCATCCATCCATCTACTCATTATCCATTCATTCATTATCCATCTATTCAATATTCATCCATCCATCATTCATCCATCATTCATTCATCTATGCATTCATTCATTTCCCATCAACTCATTCTTCCATCCATCAATTCATCCATCCATCCACTCACCCATTCATTCATTTTCCATCCATTCAATATTTATCCATCCACTCATTCATCACTCATCCATCAACATTCATTCATTCATTCATCCATCTATGAATTCATTCATTTCCCATCAACTCATTCTTCCATCCATCAATTCATCCATCCTACTCATTATCCATTCATTCATTATCCATCCATTCAATAGTCACCCATCCATCCATCCATCCTTCATCCATCATTATTCATTCATCTATGCATTCATTCCCCATCAACTCATTCTTCCATCCATCAATTCACCCATCCATCCATTCATTATCTATTCATTCATTATCCATCCATTCATCCATCCATCCATCCATCCACTATCCATCCATTCAATATTTATCCATTATCCACTCATCTGTTATCCGTCCATTCAATATTTATCCACCCATCCATTCATTCATCATCCATCATTATTCATTCAGTCATCATTTATCCATGCATTCGTTCATTTTCCATCAGTTCATTCTTCCATCCATCAATTCATCCATCCATCCACTCATCCATTCATTTGTTATCCATCCATTCAATATTTATCCATTCATTCATTCATCATTCGTTCATTCATCTATGAATTCATTCGTTTTCCATCAACTTATTCTTCCATCCATCAATTCATCCATCCATCCACTCATCCATTAATTTGTTATCCATCCATTCAATATTTATCCATTCATTCATCTATGAATTCATTTATTTCCCATCAACTCATTCTTCCATCCATCAATTCATCCATCCATCTACTCATTATCCATTCATTCATTATCCATCTATTCAATATTCATCCATCCATCCATCCATCATTCATCCATCATTTATTCATCTATGCATTCATTCATTTTCCATCCATTCAATATTTATCCATCCACTCATTCACTCATCCATCATCATTCATTCATTCATCTATGCATTCATTCATTTCCCGTCAACTCATTCTTCCATCCATCAATTCACCCATCCATCCACTTATTATCCATTCATTCATTATCCATCCATTCAATATTTATCCATCCATTATTTCATCATCCATCCATCCATTCATTCATCATTCATTTTTCATCAACGCATTCTTCCATTAATTCATCCATCCATCCAATTTTTATGGCCATCCATCTCAAACCAGCGACTCTGGTCCTCAATCATCCAACTCAATTAAAACTAATTAAAATCACAACAGAAAAAAATCCCAGAATACTTAACAGTGGCCAACAGTGATTATAATCCGTAAATGTTAGCATACCCAGGAAATGGGACCCCTCCCTCACTTGGGACCCCAGACCCAGGCATACCACCAAGTCTTTAAGACCTCCCAAAAACCCACAGGATTCAGGGCCAACCTAACCTCAGGAGGGGAAGACGATCCAGAAGCCTGGAATTGTGGCAAACTGGGTGTATCTCCCAATCCCTGCAGGATGAGATTTCCCGGCTAACGGGGCCCAAAGGATGCCCATCTTGGACATTGTTACCCCAATCCCTACAGAAGACCCCAGATTGCTGGTTTAAGATATTAGTGGAGGCAAGCCATCCAATCCACCCCCCTCTGGGCTAAAGCAGAGGATCCAGACCATGCATAATTCTGTATTTATTTATTTAGTTTTGTCCTATTTACGGAGCATGTATCGGAGGCGGTGACCCTTTGAGAGCTGGATGCAACGAAATTTCATTTTAATGTCTGCCGATTAGTGAACCTTTAAAGGGAGAATAAAGTTATTATTCTATTAAAATGAAGACCGCACATTTAAATTCCAATTCAACTGATTTATCACTCAACGCCCGTCAACGAGAATCTAGTCAACTCCCAGTGGGCATTAAATTGGCGCTAGATAAGAGTCCATCGAATTCAAGAGACTTAGACCGCTTGTGGCAACGTTAAGGATTCCAGGCTGATTCCTCTCTTGACTCCTCCCCCTGCTTCCTCCCCTACTACAGGCTCCTGTAGAGCCATTCATTTAGTGACTGTTTGAACTTATGACAGCCCTGGGGAAAAAAAGTGACTTAAAACCGTTGTATGACCATTGCAGAATATCCCCACGGTCACATGATCAAAATTGGGATACTAGTAATAGTAACAGTAGTAAAGTTGGAAGGGACCTTGGAGGTCATCTAGTCCAACCCCCTGCTCAGGCAGGAAACCCTACACCATTTCGGACAAATGGCTGTCCAGTCTCTTCTTAAAAACTTCCAGTGTTGGAGCATTTACTGCTTCTGGTGGCAGGTGGTTCCACTGGTTAATTGTTCTACCTGTCAGGAAGTTTCTCCTTAGTTCTAGGTTGCTTCTCTCCTTGATCAGTTTCCACCCGTTGCTTCTTGTCCTGCCTTCAGGCGCTTTGGAGAATAGCTTGACTCCCTCTTCTTTGGGGCAGCCCCTGAGATATTGGAATACTGCTATCATGTCCCCTTCTGCCAGAGACCCTCAGATCTGTCCCACTCCTGCCCAGGCCCCCACAGGCACCCTTGACGCGAACGATGTAGAGCTGGCCACACCCACCCAGCAGGCCACACCCATTCCATCCAGGCCACACCCACCCTGGCCACACCCATCCTGCCCCTTGAGGGCAACCGCAATGCTGATGCGGCCCTCAATGAAATTGAGTTTGATACCCCTATATTAAGATATAAACGGGAGGATGTCAACTATGTACAGGTGGTCCTCAGCTAAATGACCGTTCATTTAGTGACCGTTCAAAGTTACAACGGCACTGAAAAAAACCCCGCGTCTTGGGACTGTTGCAGCATCCCCATGGACACATCATCAAACTTCGGACGCTTGGCAACTGACTCCTCTTTATGATGGTCGCAGCCGTCCTGCCGTGTCCCCTTTTGCAAACTTCCGCCAAGCCAAGATTCACTTGACAACCGGGTTACTAACTTGACAGCTGCCGTGGTCCACTTAACAACCGTGGGAAGAAAGCTCATAAAAATGGGAGGAGCGTCGCTCGCGTAGCGCGAGACATTTTTTTTTTAGCTCCGTTGCGGTTCGTAAGCCGAGGACGACCTGTCCAGGCGGAAGTTACACCGTGTCCCTTCCTTCCTAGAGTTCTCGAAGGCCGCGCGAGGAACGGGAAGTTTCGCAGTGCGAGAGCGTGGCGTCCACCGTCTCCGCGCAGGAAGACGAGGACATTGAGGCCTCCAACGAGGAGGAGAACCCCGAAGACAGCGAAGGTGGGTCTAGAACAGAGGTCCCCAAATTTGGGGCACTAGGGACCGGTGACATAGAGCAGTGGTTCTCAACCTGTGGGTCGGAACCCCATTTGGGGTCGAACGACCATTTCACAGGGGTCGCCAAACAACGCAGTCCGCCATTTCCCCCCCCCCTTTTCCTTAGCTGTGCTACTCCCTTTTATTCTATTGGCTTTTGAAAGCCAATAGAATAGACTCTCTTGAATAGAGTCTAATTCTATTGGCTTTCCAAAGCCAATAGGACTTGTCCAGGCTGTCTCTGCCCTGCTGAGCCCGCCAAAAGTCCCATTCTGCAAACGGTGCTGCACCAGTTGAGTAGTCCTTGACTTACGACCGGTTGGGGGTCGCGGCATTAAAAAAGTTGAGAACCACTGACATAGAGGTTTTTCTGTGGATCGGAGGGGGCGTGATTTGGTGTGCTGCCTGCATCCCACGGATGGGGCTTTCCTTGTTTGCGCGGACTGGTTGCTGGCATGCCGCAGTTCGGTACTGGTCCATGGCCCAGGGATTTGGGAACCCCTGGTCTGGAACAGTGGTGGCGAACCTATGGCACACGTGCTAGAGGCGGCACTCGGAGCCCTCTCCGTGGGCACGCACACCGTTGCCCCAGCCCCGCCTCCCCCCCGGCCCCCTCCTCACCAGCAGCCCCCCTGGAGGAGAGTCACCCCTGGGCGTGGCCCACACGGAGCAAAGGACATAACTGGGCAGCAGAGACACGACTACGCCCGCGCACCCCATAGCGTGCAGATGATGCTGCGGGGTGTGTGCGGAGGGTGTGGCTGCCATGGCACTGCCTGGGCGATCTGCGGCGGGCCATGGAGGCAGTGCATGGCCCTGCAGGTGGGCGAGGCGGGGTGGACAGGAGCGGAACAGGCAGCGCAGGAAGTGGAGCAAGGACGGGGGGCAGGTTTTGGGCACTCGGTCTCTAAAAGGTTCGCCATCACTGGTCTAGAACAGGGCTTTTCAACCCGTGGTACGGGTACCACCTCTGGTCCATTGGCACCTGGCAAGTGGTACGTGACCATCCTAGAAAATGGTAGCGGGGGAGGGGAATGAGCTGAACATGTGGCAGCACCGCACAAGCCTGAGCGAGAGACGGCTGGAGCTGCAGGGCTGTCAGGGCTCAGCGGAAGCGCCAGGATCAGTGTCACGTTCCAGCTGGAGCTCAGCACTGATCCTGGCGCTTCTGCTGAGCCCTGAAGAAGCACCAATCAGCTGGAAAGCAGCACTGATCCTGGCGCTTCTGCCGAGCCCAGAAGAAGCGCCGATCAGCTGGAGTGTTGCAGCATCTCCAGGGTCTTGTGATTTACATTCAGATGCTGATTCATATTTATGACGGTCACAGTGTCCCAGGGTCATGAGAAGTGACCCAAACCTGCTGCAACCACCCAGCAGATGGGGGGGGGGGAATAAAAACCAAACACTCAAAGAGCCACTTGGACCCGTTTCCCACCAAAAACGAAACACTGGGAGCCACAAAACACTTTTCACATCTAAAATGAAGATAACACTGCATATATCCTTTTTTACCTTTATTATAGGTGTGTGTGTGTGTATACACACACACATACACATATATCATAAAGGTAAAAAAGGATATATGCAGTGTTATCTTCATTTTAGATGTCAAAAGGATCTCTCTCTCTCTCCTCTCTCTTTGTCTCCCTCTCTCTCCCCCCCCCTCTCTTTCTCTCTCTCTCTTTGTCTCCCCCCTCTCTCCCCCTCTCTCCGATCTTCTGCTCACCTGGCAAGCTGGCTTCAAGCTGTTCTTCAACAAGCTCAGGGGTAGGCAACCTTGGCTCTTTTATGACTCATGGACTTCAACTCCCAGAATTCCTGAGTCAGCATAGCTGGGCTAGCTAGCTCTCTCCTGCCCTTCCTGTTTCCTGCAGAGACGCAGTAAAGGGAGGAGCCCTGCCCAATAAGGTTTTCAGCTCATCGGAGAGCACTGTGGGAGCCACAGGGAAAGGCTCAAAGAGCCACATGCGGCTCCAGAGCCGCAGGTTGCTGACCTGTCGTATAGGCTCTCCTGCTTGAGCACGGGGTTGAAGTCCTCCAAGATCCCTTCCAGCTCTGTTATTGTGCGATAGTTTGTTATATTCAAATATTCTCAGCCTACTCTGTTATCCTTTCATGTGCTGAGCCGAGGTGGCGCAGCAGTTAGAGTGCAGTACTGCAGGCCACTTTAGCTGACTGTGTTCAGCAGGTCAGCGGTTCAAATCTCACCGGCTCAAGGTTGACTCAGCCTTCCATCCTTCCGGGGTAGGTAAAATGAGGACCCAGAGTGTTGGGGGCAATGTAAATATATATACACATTGCTTACTGGTGTACACCGCTTAGAGAGTGCTTGCACTTAAAGCGGTATATAAGTCTCATAAATAAATAAATAAAACAGTCAACTTACTGCCTTTCCAGGTGCCGAAAACAGCTCCGATACGGAAAGTGCCCCGTCTCCTTCTCCGACCGAGACTTCCAAACCTTCAGAGGATATCCCTCTGGACAGCAGCTCTTCCCGGATGACCACCGAGGCGGTGGCTGAGCAGGACTCTGCCATGAAACCAGCCCCCAGCGCCTCCCCTCCCTCGGCAACCCAGGGAACGAAGCCGGCCGAGAGCGAAGTGGCCGAGCTGCAGGTGAAAATCGAGGCCAAGTCCGAAGTGGAGGAACTGATGGAGACGGAGAGCAGGATCCCCATGGTGGACGTCAAGCCCGTCCTCAACCTGGCTGCCGGCCCCAAAGTGGAGCCCGTAGAGGTGGACACCAAACCCCCGCTAGACATTGAAGTCAAGGTAGAGAACGAGGTCAGGGAGAGGGACGAGGACGGGCCGAAGGAGAAGCTGGAGCCAGACGGGGAGGATTTCGGCTTGACCCACCAGGCCGGTGCTCAGAGGATGGAGCCCAGCTCGGACAACGACAACGACTCCAGTGCCACTTGCAGCGCTGACGAAGAAGTGGACGGGGAGCCCGAAAGGCAGAGGTGAGGTCCAAGGCCCAACACGGGTCAATTGGTCTCCCATTTTGTCCACTCCCCAAAACTCGCCTATCTGTTTTCGCAATAGTGGCGAGTATCCGTAGCTCAGGTGTAGGGTGAGGGTGGACATTAGATCTCCGAGCCTATGGGTTGGTTTCCGCATGTTTGGTTAACCAGGCTAGCTAACATCTTCAGCGGAGTTTAGGGGGTGTCAGCCTCGGTGTTCGTCTGCTTATAAGGGCTTCAGGTGTGGGTGTGTCAAGGGAGGGCCTTGTGAGTCATCAGTGGGAGGGTTGTGATGGGTCTTGTGAGATCAGGGTCGTTGGGAAGTGAAGTGCTGGAGGGAATGGGGGATTGCGCGGGATGGCTGCGATATGCAGGTTCTGAGGTTTTGCTTGATAAAAACAATACAGGAAATCAGGTTGCCTTCAAGCTTTACATTTTTATTCAGCTGAATAGTGATGGACTCCTCTAAATCAGAGGAGCCCTGAATGACAAGAAATCTTTGTATTTATTCTTTCTAATTACATAAGCAACCCATCCAGCAGAGCTGACATACATAAGATAAAGGTTTCACCCAGTAAGTCTGGCGTACTGTAGATAAGAAAGGAGAAAGCAGAAGTAGTAGTAGTAGTAGTAGTAGTAGTAGTAGTAATAATAATAATAATAATAATAATAATAATAATAATAAAAAGTTGGAAGGGACCATCTAGTCCAACCCTCTGCTCAGGCAGGAAACCCTATACCAGTGATGGCAAACCTTTTAAAGACCGAATGCCCAAACTGCAACCCAAAACCCACTTATGTATTGTCGGGTGCCGGGTGGGTGTGGCCCATTGTCTGGGTGTGGCCTATTGGGTGGGTGTGGCTGCAGTGGTAACAGCAGACTGGGTGGGACTAAAAAGTTCAATCAATCAATTCCAACTTTGGAAGATCTTTTTTTTCCCCCGCAAGTTGAAATTGACTGATTGATTGAACCTTTTTTTTTTTTTGCACATGGCGGCGGAGGCCTAAAGCGAAAAGGTTTTATAAAACCCAGCTGAAGGCCTAGGACTGGGGCGAGGGCGCGCGTGCCCACAGAGAGGGCTCTGAGTGCCGCCTCTGGCACCCGTGCCATAGGTTTGCCACCACGGCCCTACAACTTCTGGAGGCAGGTAGTTCCACTGGTTAATTGTTCTGACTGTCAGGAAGTTTCTCCTTAGTTCTAGGTTGCTTCTCTCCTTGATGAGTTTCCCTCTATTGCTTCTTCTCCTGCCTTCAGGCGCTTTGGAGAAGAGCTTGACTCCCTCTTCTTTGGGGCAACCCCTGAGATACTGGAAGGCTGTTATCCTGTCCCCCCTCGTCCTTCTCTTCATTAAACTAGACATACCCAATTACAGCAGCCGTTCCTTATATGTTTTAGCCTCCAGTCCCCTGATCATCTTTCTTGCTCTTCTCTGTACTCTTTCTAGAATCTCAACATCTTTTTTACATCGCGGTGACCAAAACTGGACGCCGTATTCCAAGTGTGGCCTTACCAAGGCCTTGTAAAGTGGTATTAATACTTCACGTGATCTCGATTCTCTCCCTCTGTTAATGCAGCCCAGCACTGTGTTGGCCTTTTTGGCAGCTGCAGCACACGGCTGGCTCCTATTTAAGGGATTGTCCACTAGGACTCTGAGGTCCCTCTCACAGTTACTACTATTGAGCAAGGTCCCCCCTATACTATACCTGTCCATTTGGTTTTTCTTGCCTAAATGTAGAACCTTGCTTTTTTCACCACTGAATTTCATTTTGTTGGATAGCGCCCAGTGTTCAAGTCTGTCCAGATCCTCCTGTATCCTAAGCCTGTCTTCTGGAGTGTTGGCTATTCCTGCCAGCTTGGTGTCGTCTGCAAATTTGATGGGTTCCCCTTCTATCCCCTCGTCCAGATCGTTGATGAAGATGTTGAAGTAGCTCAACATGTTCCATTTTGGGTGTTTCTCTAAAGATATCGTATGTTCTCGGGTGGGTTAGGACATTGGGTGTTGTCCTTGCTGTCCTTTCGTGACCCTGCATCCAGGACTGTGCAAGTGGCCAGAGAGAGGGGGGCCATCTGTACGTATTCACAATGGATACTGTCCCCTAAGACCTGGTCATCAGTTGAGGGTCGGTGCTGTCTCTGGTTGGCTGTGCGGTTGATTTGGATTCGAGGGGTTTGTGGGCTGATTGTAGGTCAGTGTGTCTGTTGATGGCCTGGCTTGAGGAGTGCCACGCTTTGACGAACTCACGAGCATGGCGGGTGGTAGCGTGGCCGATGATTTTAGCGTCACTGCTGCTGTTCGTTGTCGATGTGGATGAAGATTGCGGATTTGGGATCGTGGCGTTCGACTGCCAGCCGGTGTTCCTGGATCCTCGTTTTTGATGGACAGGATGTTTGTCCCACGTAGAATTGGTTGACCTACCACCAGCCCACCAACCCCTCGGAATCCAAGTCAGCTGCACAGCCAACCAGGGACGGCACCGATCCTCAGCCATCCCGTGCAATCCCCCAATCAGTACTTCCACCTCCCAATCACCCTCACACCACCCCATCACAACACCCATCAGCGGATGACTCACACCTGACCCATCACAAGACCCCACTTGACACACACACACCTGAAGCCCTTATAAACAGAAGAACACTGACACCCCCTAAACCAGGGGTCCCCAACCGTGGCAACTTTAAGACCTGTGGACTTCAACTCCCAGAATTCCCCAGTCAGGCACGCTGGCTGTGGAATTCTGGGAGTTGAAGTCCACAAGCTGGGGTCTTCAAACCTGGCCCTTTTATGACTGGTGGACCTGGCTGAGGAATTCTGGGAGTTGAAGTCCACATGTTGGGGTCTTCCAGCTCGGCCCTTTTATGACTTATGGACTTCAATTCCCAGAATTCCTCAGCCAGCCATGCTCCACCCTCACCTATCTGTACTCTTGGCTGATGGATGTCCACCCCATTCCTGAAATTCTGTAAAAAATACAGTTGGCCCTTGACTTACAACCACCCCTTTAGTGACCAAAGTTACAACGGTCCTGGAAAAAAGCGACTGATGACCGTTTTTCATACTGAACACCGTTGTAACATTGCCACGGACACATAATCAAAAATCCGGAGGCTTGGCAACTGCCTCGTATTTATGACGGTTGCCGTGTCCCCTTTTGTGACCTTTGGACAAGGGAAGTCCATGGTGACTCGTTTAACGACCGCGTGGCTAACTTAACAACCGCCACGATTGTCTTTTAACAGTTGTGGCGAGAAAGGTCGATAAAACGGGGCCAAAGCGTACAACTGCCGTTTTCCTCAGCAGCGGAAATTTGGGGCAGTAAATTGTGTGGACGTAAGATGAGGCCCTCCCTTGCAGCGTTCGAGGGCCACCGCAGCACACAACGAGGGCGGTGTGTAATGGAAAGTTTCCTGTGGCCTTGGAAGCGCTCCAGGGAAGGGTCACCTACGGTTGGGCTTGCCCTGAAGCTGGTGCTCAGTGTCAGCGATCAAGTTACTAAGTTTCCCCCAGATTTTTTTTCATCTCTCTTTGTGTGTGTGTTTGTGTGTGTGTGTGTATGTATTTTGGGAAAGGGTTTTTGCAAGTATGGTCTCCTCTCCTCTCCTCTCTCTTTTCTTTCTCTTCCCCCTCTCTCTTTCTCTTCCCTCCCCGCTTGGTCTTTCTCTCTCTTTTTTTCTCTCTCTCTTTCTCTTCCCCCCTCAGTGTCTGTCTGTCTGTCTCTCTCTCTCTTTCTCTCTCTCTCTGTCTTTCTTTCTTTTCTTCTTTCTCTTCCCCCTCTCTCTTTCCCTTCCCTCCCTCTCCATCTTTCTCTCTCTCTTTTCTTTTTCTCCCTCTCTCTTCCCCCCTCTTTCTTTCTCTTTGTCTCTGTCTTTTTCTCTCTTTTCTCTCTTTCTTCTTTCTATTTCCCCCTCTCTCTTTCTCTTCCCTCCCTCTCGGTCTTTCTCTCTTTCTTTTTTTTCTCTTCCCCCTCTCTTTTTCTCTTCCCTCCCTCGATCTGTCTCTCTTTTTTTCTTCTTTCTCTCCCCCCTCTCTCTTCCCCCTCTCTCTGTTTTTCTTTTTCTTTCTCTTCTCTCTCTCTTTCTCTTCCGTCTCTTTCTCTCTTCTGTTTCTCCCTCTCCCTGTCTCTTTCTCTTTCTTTTTTCTCTCTTCCCTCTATCCTTCTCTTCCCCCTCCTTTTGGTCTCTCTCTCTTTCTTTTCTTCTTTCTCTTTCCCCTCTCTGTCTTTCTCTCTTTCTTTTTTCTCTCTCTCTCTTCCCTCTCTCTTTCTCTTTCTCCCCTCTCTCTGCCTTTCTGTTTCTTTTTCTTTCTCTCTTCTCTCTCTCTTTCTCTTCCTTCTCTTTTTCTTTCTCTTTCTCTCTCTTTCTCTTCCCTCTGTCTCTTTCTCTTCCTTCTTTCTCTCTGTCTTTCTCTTTCTTTTTTCTCTCTTCCCTCTCTCCTTCTCTTCACCCCCTTGATCTCTCTCTCTCTTTCTTTCTCTTTCCCTTCTCTCTTTCTCTTCTCCCCTCTCTTTCTTTCTCTTTTTCTTTCTCTCTTCTCTCTTTCTTTCTCCTCTCTCTCTCTCTCTTTCTCTCTCTTTCTTTTTCTCTCTCTCCAGCTTTGCAAGGGGAAGCCTCCTTTCCTGCGAAAGTCTAAGCACCAGTCCTTTTGCACTCAGTTCTCCAGGACAGGGAGATTAGTGTCGCTTGGGTGGCTGCCAGCTGGGGTTGTGTACTCCGTGACCCACAAAAGGCATCGTTAAAAAAAAAAAAAAAAAAGGCAGAGGAGGCTGGGAAAAACCTCCCACCCTCCTCCTCTGTTGTCTGCCTGTTTGCAAATTGGTATTTATTTGTTTTAAAAAAAATTGATAACGGCTGCCTAACTCGTGGCGATTCAGGGCAGCTTAGAAAAATAAAACCCCAGTGCCAAACCCGATTAACCCCCTCCCTCCTTCCCTCCACACACACACACACACACACACACACACACACACACACACACACACCCTCCTGGCAACAACAGCCACGCTGACCTCATAAAGGCAATCCTTGACTTAACCACCACAGTTGAGCCCAACATTTCTGTCACTAAGCAGGACGGTTGTTAAAGGCGCCTCGCCCCATTTTACTCCCTTCCCTTGCCACCGTTCTTAAGCGAATCACCGCAGCTGTTAAACTAGTGGCACGGTTGTTAAGTGGATCTGGCTGCCTCCCCCCCCCTTGACTTTGCTTGTCACAAGGTCGCAAAAAGGGGATCGCGTGACCGCCAGGACGCTGCGCCCGTCCTAAATAGGAGTCAGTTGCCGAGCGTCCGAATTTTGATCTCGTGATCCCCACGGGGATGCTGCGACGGTCGTAAAGAGGAGGACTTGTTAGGAAGTGGGGATGAGAAGGGATGAACATCTGAAACGGGCAGGGTTTCAGCTCCTTGGGGAGAAAGTGCAGTTCCCATGGATCCCCCTGAGGCTTTCTGGGGCTCACCAATTTGCAAGAGTCAACTGAGGCTGCGGGTTGTTTCGGAAGTCGGTTGTTTTCTTGCGGACGTTTCATGACCCAGCTAGGGAACATCATCAGAGTTAGAAGAGAAGGGGGTACATGGCGTGGAGGAGAAGAAGGGCAGGAGGAGGAGGACTGTGGAGTCCTTGGTGCTCTCTGAGCTTGGCGGTTTTCTTGCAGACGTTTCATGACCCAGCTAGGGAACATCATCAGTGCTAGAAGGGAGTGGGGTTGGGAGGAGGAGGAGGAGAAGGAGGACTACGACTGTGGGGTCCTTGGTGCTCTCTGAGCTTGATGGGTTTCTTGCAGACGTTTCATGACCCAACTAGATAATATCATCAGAGTTAGTAGGAGTGGGGTTTGTGGAGTGGAGGAGAAGAAGGGGAAGAGGAGAAGAAGGGTGGGAGGAGGAGGAGGAGGACGACGACGACTGTGGGGTCCTTGGTGCTCTCTGAGCTTTGTGGTTTTCTTGCAGACGTTTCATGACCCAGCTAGGGAACATCATCAGAGTCAGAAGGGAAGGGGATATGTGGAGTGGAGGAGAAGAGGAAGGGGAAGAGGAGAAGAACAGCAGGAATAGGAGGAGGAGGAGGAGGACTGTGGGGTCCTTGGTGCTCTCTGAGCTTGGTGGTTTTCTTGCAGACGTTTCATGACCCAGCTAGATAATATCATCAGAGTTAGTAGGGAGTGGGGTTTGTGGAGTGAGGAGAAGAAGGGGAAGAGGAGAAGAAGGGTGAGGGGTGGAGGAGGAGGGGGGTCTGTAGGGTCCTTGGTGTTTTCTGAGCTTAGTGCTTTTCTTGCAAACATTTCAGACGTTTCATGACCCAACTAGGTAATATCATCATAGTTAGTAGGGAGTGGGGAAAATGTGGAGTGGAGGAGAAGAAGAAGGGGAAGAGGAGAAGAATGGGGGAGAGGAAAGGAGGGAGGGGGGAGGAAGGAAGAGGAGAAGGAGGACTGTGGGGTCCTTGGTGCTCTCGGAGTTCGGTGGTTTTCTCGCAGACATTTCATCACCCAACTAGATAACAGCATCAGCGCTCGTTTCCTCTTTACAGAATATTTCATTTCCTCTTTATGCAGAAGATTTCTGAGGGTATTTTTCTTCCTCCAGGATCTTTACCATGGACTCCAAGCCTTCCCTTTTAAATCCCACCGGACCCCTGCTGGTGTCCTCTGCGATTAAACAAGGGCCGATGGATCTACAGCAGCTTCAGCACCGGGCAGCTGTTATACCACCAATGGTGAGTGTTGGACAGGAGGGAGATGCATCCTCCTCTTTCTTCTAAGCCTAGAAAAAATACAGACCGGAGGGGTTGCCTGAGTTGCTGTTTCTCAGCCTTGGCAAATTAAAAGAGGGGTGGGCTTCTGCTCCCAGAATTCCCCAGCCAGCCTGCTTTAAGGGGGGGTGGGCTTCCACTCCCAGAATCCCCCAGCCAGCATGCTTTAAGAGGGGTGGGCTTCCACTCCCAGAATCCCCTAGTGAGTCATGTTTTAAGATGGGTGGGCTTCCACTCCCAGAATCCCCCAGCCAGCATGCTTTAAGATGGGTGGCCTTCCACTCCCAGAATCCCCTAGCCAGCCATGCTTTAAGAGGGGAGGACTTCAGCTCCCAAAATTCCCCAGCCAGCATGCTTTAAGAGGGGTGGGCTTCCACTCCCAGAATTCCCCAGCCAGGCTGTTTTAAGAGGGGTGGATTTCCACTCCCAGAATCCCCCAGCCAGCCTGCTTTAAGAGGGGTGGGCTTCCACTCCCAGAATCCCCCAGCCAGCCTGCTTTAAGAGGGGTGGACTTCCACTCCCAGAATCCCCCAGCCAGCATGCTTTAAGAGGGGGGGACTTCCACTCCCAGAATCCCCCAGCCAGCCTGCTTTAAGAGGGCTGGACTTCCACTCCCAGAATCCTCCAGCCAGCCTGCTTTAAGATGGGTGCCACTCCCAGAATCCCCCAGTCAGGATGCTTTAAGAGGGGTGGACTTCCACTCCCAGAATCCCCCAGCCAGCCTGCTTTAAGAAGGGTGGACTTCCACTCCCAGAATCCCCCAGCCAGCCTGCTTTAAGAGGGGTGGATTTCCACTCCCAGAATCCCCTAGCCAGCCTGCTTTAAGAGGGGTGGACTTCCACTCCCAGAATCCCCCAGCCAGCCTGCTTAAGAGGGGTGGATTCCACTCCCAGAATCCCCAGCCAGCCTGCTTTAAGAGGGGTGGACTTCCACTCCCAGAATCCCCCAGCCAGCCTGCTTTAAGAGGGGTGGATTTCCACTCCCAGAATCCCCCAGCCAGCCTGCTTTAAGAGGGGTGGACTTCCACTCCCAGAATCCCCCAGCCAGCCTGCTTTAAGAAGGGTGGACTTCCACTCCCAGAATCCCCCAGCCAGCCTGCTTTAAGAGGGGTGGACTTCCACTCCCAGAATCCCCCAGCCAGCCTGCTTTAAGAGGGGTGGACTTCCACTCCCAGAATCCCCCAGCCAGCCTGCTTTAAGAGGGGTGGACTTCCACTCCCAGAATCCCCCAGCCAGCCTGCTTTAAGAGGGGTGGACTTCCACTCCCAGAATCCCCCAGCCAGCCTGCTTTAAGAAGGGTGGACTTCCACTCCCAGAATCCCCCAGCCAGCCTGCTTTAAGAGGGGTGGATTTCCACTCCCAGAATCCCCTAGCCAGCCTGCTTTAAGAGGGGTGGACTTCCACTCCCAGAATCCCCCAGCCAGCCTGCTTTAAGAGTTGAAGTCCACCAATCATAAAAGGGCCAAGTTGGAAGACCCCTGCTATAAGTTGAGAATTACCCGTCCTTAAGCATTTATCGATTGTGTTTGTCCCCGGTCGTAATCCAGGAACGGCTGCCCATCATCCCCGGCTTCCCCACCAGCGGCTACACCCTCCTCCATCAGCACATCAAGGCTATGCACAAGTCCAGCATCGTGGAGGAACAGCAACGCCAGAGGCAAGAGCAGATGGAGGTGGATTTCCGCAGGTCCTCCAGTCCCTGCGGCCCTTCGAAGAGCCCGAACGTCGAGTGGGATGGTAGGTGAAGGAGCTCCCCTTCCCATCGGAGGGCATTGTGGGAAACTGCTTTGTGCTGATCCTGGCTGAGTCTCCAAGTCGGGGGCCGACTCTCCCTTTCTCTCTCTGTGTGTGTGAACCATTCAATCCGGGATTGGGAGCATGTTAAGCAATAGCTAAGGCACTGTTTCTCAGCCTAGACCAGTGTTTCTCAACCTTGACAATTTTAAGGCAGGTGGACGTCAACTCCCAGAATTCCACAGCCAGCACTGCTGGCTGTGGAATTCTGGGAGTTGAAGTCCACCTGCCTTAAAATTGTCAAGGTTGAGAAACACTGGCCTAGACAAATGTAAGGTGAGTGGACTTCAACTCCCAGAATTCCCCAGCCAGCCATGCTTTAAAATGGGTGGACTTTTCATTCCCATACTCTCCCAGCCAGCCTGCTTTAAGAGGGGAGGATTTCAACTCCCCGAATCCCCCAACCAGCATCATTTAAGAGGGGTGGACTTCCCCTCCCAGAATTCCCCAGCCAGCGTCCTTTAAGAGGGGTGGGCTTCCACTCCCAGAATCCCCCAGCCAGCATGCTTTAAAATGGGCAGACTTTCATTCCCATAATCCCCTAGCCAGCATGGTTTAAGAGGGGAGGATTTCAACTCCCAGAATCCCCCAGCCAGCTTACTTTAAGAGGAGTGGATTTCTACTCCCAGAATTCCCCAGCCAGCATCCTTTAAGAGGGGTGGGCTTCCACTCCCAGAATCCCCCAGCCAGCATGCTTTAAAATGGGCGGACTTTCATTCCCATAATCCCCCAGCCAGCATGGTTTAAGAGGGGAGGATTTCAACTCCCAGAATCCCCCAGCCAGCGTCCTTTAAGAGGGGTGGTCTTCCACTCCCAGGATCCCCCAGCCAGCATCCTTTAAGATGGTCGAACATCCACTCCCAGAATCCCCCAGCCAGCATCCTTTAAGAGGGGTGGGTTTCCACTCCCAGAATTCCCAGAACCGGCTCTGGGGGGAATCCCAGGGGTCCCATTTCCTGAGCCCATGGTCCAACACATTTCTCTCACGGACTTTCCCCCTTCTTTCCCCCCCCCCCCATTCCCCTCTGCTCTCTCTTGGCCCAGGCCTCGCTCAAATCCCTGAGGGGAGAGGGAGGCAGGGCTGAACATTTGATTTGCGGTCTTCCCAGCTGTTTGACAGCCAAATTGACAAGCAGGCTATAAGTTTCACGGGGGATCATGGGAAACCGGGCAGGCCGAGGGCACGTGCCAGCAAAGATCAGTCGGCCTTGTGTGACGGCCAAAACCCGTGGAGCCCAGCCAGGCATGAAGCTGTTCTAAAAATAGAACTAGGCTTGCTGCGTGCCAGCAGGACCCTTAAACCATGTTTGGAATCGGGCATCGAAGCTCCTGCGTCGTAAATGGAGGATAGCGCGGCCATTTCTCTTTGGGACCGTTTTTGCCTGCCGATCAGAATGTTCTGACAGGCAGTCATGATTAACGGTCATTTAGTCAAGGTTTAAAGCAGGGGGTCTTCCAACTTAGCCCTTTTAGGACTTGTGGACTTCAACTCCAGGCACGCTGGCAGAGGAATGCTGGGAGTTGAAGTCCACAAGTCCTAAAAGGCCCAAGTTGGAAGGCCCCTGTCTTAAAGCACCCTGGCTGAGGAATTCTGGGAGTTGAAGTCCATAAGTCATAAAAGGGCCAAGTCTTAAAGCATCCTGGCTGAGGAATTCTGGGAGTTGAAGTCCACTAGTCATCAAAGGGCCAAGTTGGAAGACCCCTGTCTTAAAGCATCCTGGCTGAGGAATTCTGGGAGTTGAAGTCCACAAGTCATGAAAGGGCCAAGTTGGAAGACCCCTGTCTTAAAGCATCCTGGCTGAGGAATTCTGGGAGTTGAAGTCCACAAGTCATCAAAGGGCCAAGTTGGAAGACCCCTGTTTTAAAGTTACAACGGCACTGGGAAAAAAATGAGACTCAGGACCATTTTTCACACTTAATGACCATGGGGGGGGGGAATGTTCAGATAATCAAAATTCAGATATAATGGTATCTCGGTGTCCGTCGATAATTTGTTCCGGAAGATGCAACCAATACTAAAAGCAACAGGTACCAGGAAAACCATGTGACCCGCTATTCCAGCCGGAAAAAATAGCGAATCACGAGGCAGCCGATGCCGGAAAGTTCTTCCTCGGAGAATAAATTCCTGCTTCAAAGCACACCGGATACCAAATTCGACGCGTTTTGAAGCAGTCAAGTATCGAGGTAGGACTGTCCTCGGCCACTGGCATGTATTTATGAAACTGGTCGTAAAGAAAGGCCGTGAAACGGGGAAAAACTCCCTTAACGACGGTCTTTTTTAGCAACAGAAATGTTGAGCTCAAATGTCGTAAAATCGAGGACTAACTGTGGGGTGTTTTGGGGTTTTTTTGTTTCCTATGTACATTTTTTTAATATCTTGTTTAGTTTTGTATTTTTTTTAATCGCTTTTTTTTACTTTGTATTTTAAGGCGCTGCAAGGAAGGTGGTAAAATAGGGACAAAACTCACTTAACAAATGTCTCACTTAGTAACAGAAATGTTGGGCTCAATTGTGGTCATAAGTCAAGGACTACTGTATAAGTTCTCTCTCTCCCCTCCCATCTGTCTTTCCATCTTTCTGTCTACCTCTATCAAACTGTCTATCAAACTTCCTCTCTCTCTCTCTCTCTCTCTCTCTCTCTCACACACACACACACACCTCCCTCTATTTATCTATATCTCTCCATCTCTCTCTCTTTCTCTCTCCATATCTCTCTCACACACACACACATCTCCCTCTATCTCTCTTTCCCTCCATCTCTCTCTCTCTCACACACCTCCCTCTATTTATCTATATCTCTCCATCTCTCTCTTTCTCTCCATCTCTTTCTCTCTCATACACACACATCTCCCTCTATATCTCTCCATCTTTCTCTCTTTCTCTATCTCTCTCACACACACAAACACACACATCTCCCTCTATTTATCTATATCGCCCCAGCTCTCTTTTTATCTCCATTTCTCTCTCTCACACACACACATACACATCTCCCTCTATTGATCTATATTTCTCCATCTCTCTCTCTCTTTCTGTCTCCATCTTTCTCTATCACATACACACATCTCTATTTATCTATATCTCTCCATCTCTCTCTTTCTCTGTCCACCTCTCTCTCTATCACACACACAAACTTCTCTATTTATCTATATCTCTCCTTTTTCTCTCTCCCTCTCTCTTTCTCTCTCACACACATCTCCCTCTTTTATCTATATTTCTCCATCTTTCTCTCTCTTTCTCCATCTTTCTCTCCTTCTCTCTCTCTCACACACACATGTCTATATCTCTCCATCTCTTTCTCTCTCCATCTCTTTCTTTTTCTCTCTCCATCTCTCTCTCTTTCTCTCTCACACACATCTCCCTCTTTTATCTATGTCTCTCCATCCCTCTCTCTTTCTCTCTCACACCCATACATCTCTATATCTCTCCATCTCTCTCTCTCTCTCTTTCTCTCTCTCCTCTCTCACACCTTCCCAGCCAGCTTCCGACCAGCAAAGTCAATGAAGGAAGCTAGATTCCCTTAACGACCGCCTGGTTCACTTAACAACTGGCAGTGATTCACATCACAATTGTGGAAAGAAAAGTGGTAAAACGAGGCAAAACTCACCTAACAATAGAATCTCACTTAGCAACAGAAATTTTGGTCATACGTCAAGGACTAACTGTGGGATGTTGTCGTTTTTTTTTGTGGTTCCCTTTATACTTTTTTTTAAATACCTTGTTTAGTTTTGTTGTATTTTTTTATCTTTTTTTGGAGGGGGGACTTTGTATTTGAAGGGGGGGAATGAAAATTGAAATTAAAAAAAAATGTACTGCAGAGAAAGATTCTCTTTCTGCCCGATGCCCCTCGCTTAACGGACGCTGTTCCTTTCCTCCCCGCAGCCAAGACCGTGGCCTACATGCCTTACTCCGAAGTCAAGCGGGCCATGGATCAGGAAGCCCAGATGCAGAACGCGGCGGCCCGCGCAGGCTCCCCCTACCGCCTGTCTCCCCGGGAGATGAACAAGGCTTCTCCCCAGCCGGAGATGAACGCCACCCGCTACAGTGTCCCACCAGGTAACTTTCGCACCCGGGCCCTTCTCTCGGCTGCAGTCTGGAACTCGCAGTTTGGGCTCCTTAGTGTTCTCTGAGCTGGGTGGTATTTCTTGCAGACGTTTCATGATCCAGCTAGGTAATATTATCAGAGCTGGAAGGTTTTGCAGAGAGAGGAGGAGGAGGAGGAGGAGGAGGAGGAGGAGAAGGAGGAGGAGGAGGAGGACTGTGGGGTCCTTGGTGCTCTCTGAGCTTGGATGTTTTTTTGCAGACGTTTCATGACCCAAACTAGGGAACATCATCAGTGCTAGAAGGGAGGAGGAGGAGGATTGTGGGGTCCTTGGTGCTCTCTGAGCAGGGTGGTTTCCTTGCAGACGTTTCATAACCCAACTAGGGAACATCTTCAGTGCCAGAAGAGAGGGGACTGCAGAGAGGAGGAAGAGGACGACTGTGGGGTCCTTGGTGCTCTCTGAGCTGGGTGGTTTCCTTGCAGACGTTTCATAACCCAACTAGGGAACATCTTCAGTGCCAGAAGAGAGGGGAATGCAGAGAGGAGGAAGAGGACGACTGTGGGGTCCTTGGTGCTCTCTGAGCTGGGTGGTTTCCTTGCAGCCGTTTCATGACCCAACTAGGGAACATCATCAGTGCTAGAAGGAAGGAGGGGTTTATGGAGAGGAGGAGGAGGAGAGGGAGTGAAGAGGAGGAGGAAGGGAAGGATGAGGAGGACGACTGTGGGGTCCTTGGTGCTCTCTGAGCTGGGTGGTTTCCTTGCAGACGTTTCATGACCCAACTAGGGAACATCATCAGTGGTAGAAGGGGGTGGGGTTTGTTCAGTGTTTTTATACAAGTCGCTTGCTATGTCCGTATTTATTAGGGTGTCTTTTTCTTCTTGGTAAGTTCCTTGATTAGGCTGTTGTTTGCTTTAGCCACTGCATATCAACAGGGAGCAATCCCCCCACTTCCCTTCTAGCACTGATGATGTTCCCTAGTTGGGTCATGAAACGCCTGCAAGGAAATCACCAAGCTCAGACAGCAGCAAGGACCCCACAGTCATCCTCCTCTTCTTCCTCCTCCTCCTCCTCCTCTCCCCAAATTCCTCTGCTTTCTAGCTCTGATGATGTTCCCTAATTGGATAATGAAACATGTGCATCAAAAGAAGCTTAGAGACCACCAAAGACCCCCACAGTCCTCCTCCTCCTCCTGTTCCTCCTCCTCCCTTCCACAAACCTTCCTCCCTCCTAGCACTGAGGATGTTAGCTAGCTAGGTCA